ACACACACACACACACACACACAAAACACACACACACCACACACACCAAAGCTCTGCTCTCTGCTCTTCTCTCTCTCATCACACACACGCACAGCTCTCTCTTATTTCTCTCCTCTCTTCTCTGCTCTCTCTCTCTCTCTCTCTCTCTCTCTCTCTCCCGCTTCTCTCTCTCCTCACCACACACACACACAGTGGCGTAGGCCAGCAATTGGAAACAGGGGGCGCAAGGCGAGGGAGCGAAGCGACGCGAGGGGGTAGGGTGTGGGAGGGGTATCCGCCCCTCCCCGGTAGGGAGATTTTTGAAAATTCGTGCATGAAAATGGGCATTTTCTGGCACACTAAAATTCAGCTATTAGGGGTAACTTATATGAGAAGGTGGCATATGCTAATCCCTTATAAACCCCGCTCGCCTCGGCTTTTTATTTTCGGCATCCGCTCCGATCAAACGTGGACGATGGCCCTGCTTTGTGGCAGGCGCGGAAGGCTCTGAGGTTACATCACGACACGTTGGTGGACGCTTAGCTAGACAGTGAAACAAATGCGGTGTAGCGAACCGAGTTGTTTTTCAGGAGGGGAAGAAAAGAGTGTAAGGCGAGCAAAGAGCAGCGAAGTGTAAGCAAATTTTCTCAACGGGGAGGGTGTTCCACAGTAGGGTAATTTTTGAAAGATATGTTGCATCAAATGGCATTTTTGGCGCAATTTCATTTTTCATTATTAGGTTAGGGTTTTAATAAGTGGTATAGACGCAATCCATTAAGGCCCTTCTGCTCTAATTTTTGTAGGCTCATCCCGATCAAGAGGGGGCATGGCCTTTTGTGCGCCGCCCCGCTTAGGCTACGGGGCCTATGTCGGCTGACATTCAAGCACTGACGGAATATTGGAATTAGATTGATTGTGTGTTGTTAGGGCAGTACATGCAATGTTGATTTATCGGTATAAATCTGTTTTCAAGTTCCTCATATAAAAGTTAAAAGTTAAATTTTATTTTTTGAAAAAGTAGAGGCATATTGAAGTAAAAATGCGAAATAAAGATGCTACGGAAAAACAGGCTAGATGTGTTGGAACTGCACTGAATAAACATGCAATTTATTTAAATAGCAAAGATTTACATCGTTTAGAATACAAATAGCGTTAAAGATGCACATTTAAACATTTTGTCGTTATAAAAAATGTTTTTTGGCTTTCCTCTGATGAAAACAAAAACCATATTGAAATTTGATTTGCAAATAAAACAAAGGTAGGTCTGCCAAAATAGGCCGTCTATTTAAAATAAAAAAGAAATTTACCCATGAAAGAATTGTTTTTGGCCTCCGCGCTGATAGAGAACACGTTAACTTACAAATAGTGGTTGAAATGCGGATTTGAAATAAAAACGAGGTGGATGCCAAAATGGCACGTCCTATAAGTTCGAAATATATCAAAGTTATTCCAGCAAAGCCTTTGCCATTTCTTTTTTTCTGTCAATAGACGTTCAGACCATAACATTCAATGCAAGCCCAACTTGCAACAACACAAATCTGAGCAAGAAGAAATTATCTCGCTTCTTTTAGTCATGTTTTTGTCTGGGCTTGCAGAATCTCAACATCCAAGTCCAAGTCTTGCTCGTCGATTTTGAGGATTTCGTTTTGACATTAAATGTCATTCACTAACTCCTGTCAAGCGAAAAGGAGAAGAGAGGGGCAGAGAATCGTGGCTGGGGTCATTGTAGAAGCGTAAGTAGACTTGACATGCTCATTTTAGAGAATGTTCGTTCAGCAGATGCAGAAGTAACAGGAATTGTGGCGCAGTCCTGTGAAGACGCGTGAAAGGCAAGCGTTTTTTTGTGCCAAATCAAGCAAGGGGGCCAATGGCGCCGCCTTGTGCTCGCCCTTAGGCTAGGCCAGTGCAATGTCTGATTGGTATACAGTACATTGTATAAACGCAATCGTGTGCCCGATGTGTAAGATTGTGTAACACTGTATAAGATCGTGATAACATTGTATAACATATGACGTGGATAACATGTATAAAGCAATCAATGGTATTCTCTTGTATATAGGACCAAGTACACAGCCGAGTACACAACTTCTAGAGAGGAAAACACGACTCGAGGAAGGATTAATGCAACGGTAAAATCCAACCATAATCATTGCTCGGCACCGCGTCTCTAAATGCGCAACTCACTAGATCCCTGCATCCGCATGCCCCCAATACATCGCTTCTCTTCCTCCCTGTTCTCCTCTGCCGTTGCGCCGCCAACCAAGAAACAGCAAGAACAAACAAACAAGCACAACAACACAATCAACTGACGATGACCGACGATAGGCACCTCGCCGCCCTGCCGCAAAGAAATAGCAGACAGAACTCACAGATGATTGTAAGATAACCCAACTCTGGCGGGTCAGGCAAGGAAAGCTAACAGACTCTCTGTGGCATAACAAAGCCGAGGTTCCGCACGCACGGAGGCCAAAGAGCTCGTGCACAGTCAGGCAGAGTCAGGATGGTCGTGTTGCCACGAGAGCATTGTTTGTCAGGATCGTGCAGGCCGAGCTCCTTAATGTGCACGCGCGCATGCGTGTTACAATACACGCGGGCGTGTAGCCTGCGGGCTCGTACAATTAGGTGCACGTGAGTGTATTCTGCCGTGCACAGATGCACATGACCCGCATGCGTGCATGTGATGTGCGAGCATAGCGTGTGTAACGTGCGCGCACGTGTGTATGTGCACGCACGCGTGTATGGTGCACGCACGCGCTGTACGTGCACGCAGCGCGTGTACGTGCACGCATGGCGTGATAGCGTGCCAGGCTAGCGCGTGTATGCGCACGCAACGCGTGTATACGCAGCGCGTGTAGGCGTGCACGCATATGCGTGTACGTCCACGACACGCGTGTAGCCTGGCACGGCACGCGTGTACGTGCACGCACGCGTGTACGCTGCAGCACGAGCTAAAGTTATCCCGCTTCAGAAGCGGGCTAAAGTCGTTCGCAGTATGAAAGCGGCATTAGATACAGAAATAATGTTTTTTTGAATTTTTCAACTGAGAATATAGGTAAAATGTGTTTTTTTGCAAGTGGAAAAAAACCCTGACTCTGTCTGTTTAATCTGCCGGAATGCATGCTTATCCCAGTTGTGTATCAGATTACAAAGTTGTAGCCACATGGTGACTATTTCTGTCACCATGCATGAGCAGCTAACATGCATGGCCTGTACCTTCAACCATGCGTGTATTAGTGGGTTCCCTGTAACGTGTACATGCATCTATTTGTCACTTCTATTACATGTGCAATAGCTGGCGTGTACTGCTGTTTTCGAAAATTTTACATTCAAGAAAGCCATTGCCTGCTCAGCATACCATCAAACGTAAAAATGTATGCGTATATAGTGTTGAATCGCCAAAAAACCTCTGCATTCATAAACATTTACGTAAGCACATATTTGCTACAGGCTCACATTCTATTTACAACTGTAGTTGATTTGATCAAGTCAAGTATCATCGGATCTAGCTATAAATATAATGCGTAGCTGGTGGGCCTATACCATACTGTCTGTATGTGTGATTGGGGGAAGGGGGGTGGGGTACGTAACACGAATTTCTTTGAGTGATCTGTGGAAGTAGCTGAGTAACATCTGGTACAATTGAGAAGTTTGCCTGAAGTTGGTACGGAAATGGTGTTCTGTGATTCATTCTGAGCGTGAAAACTTAAGTTCCGTGGTTGACCTCAAATTTAAACCGGAGTGCCCTCCCTCAGTTTTTTGTAGGCCGATGCCCTCCCAAGCCTCCCTCATTATATCCACTGTATCGAACATAAAGCTGGTCTGCCACACATTCTGTATCAAGCTATTCTGTCTGATTTTCCTCTAGCTAGGGTTGATTAAATTCACTAAAGGTAAGTGTTGCCCTTGGCTTAATAAAAAATGTTTGGTGCAAGTTTACCACTGCAAGTTTAACAGACACCAAAGCAAAAGCAACCATCTTTTTCGAAGGAAGGGCGTAGAGGGATCAGGGATCTCACTTTTCATCAACACATTTAATGTACGACAGCGATGGATACATGCTTAACAACAGGAGTGAGAACAGATCTGTGACTATGCCTTACTCCTGTAAGCATGGAAATCATGGTAAGCAGGGCCGTAGTGGCCGCCACGGCAGCACGGCACTGCCGTGGCACTATTTTGAAGAAAAAAAAATTCTGCAGGGAACCAAGGAGCAACATATAACAAGGAGATGAAACCCCGGGGGTACCCCCCCTATGCACACACACACTCGGCAATCGTAACCTAGCGGCTCCTCCTCGTCCGGAACCGGTCGCGTAGCCACGGTCACGTATATTGTGGTATCGAGCGATTGTTGTGCGCGCATCCCGTCGCAGACGCTGCGTCTGGAAGGGACGTCACGATCATGCGCACTTAGCAACGACGCAGTTAGATGGTATCTAACGTCTTTTCGTTATGCACTCATATGACGGAGAACGCTCCTATTCCCTGTCTACAAACCACATCGGGTACGGGCGGTACTATTAGTAAACATGGCGACGAAAAGGATGTTAGTATTTTCGTGGCAGGCTTGGTTGGTGTTATTTATATTGCTATGCTACCTTCACGGTAAGTTGTTCTTATTTATTCGAAGGTATATACTGTTAGCTGTCTTGACGGCATGGCTACGTTACTCAATTTGGTTCAGTTTTGCGGTTAAGCGGGCAGAATATATTCATAATATTGTGTCATATGTGATGTGCAGTTATGTGCTTCTGTCAGTGTCTGTTTGAAGTGTTTCATTAGATGTACACATTAGCTGCAACTGAGTCAGTGAGTGATTCACAGTGCTGTAGCCTAGTGCATTACTCGAGTGGGTGTTATCCGGATGTTCTTATACAATTAGTGCGATGCGAATGATGCCAGGCAGTACAGCTAACCAGAAAATAATTATAACTTTGTCATAATCATGTATGGTTTTCTGCGTAGTTAGGCTCATAGTTATAGCATAGGGTCTATGTCCCCCAGGGTACTATCGGAGGGTACCCTGGGTACGGTTCGATATATCGGAACGTACCCTGGTAACTATCTGATAGTGATATGGTTAGGGTTAGGGAGTAGGCGTAGGCGACTCCCTAGACTCGTTAGTGGAGTAGGCGAGACCTGTACGGTCCGGCATATTAGATAGTACCAGGGTACCCTCTGATATAAACCGACCAGGCTCTCCGACTGTTACACGGCGCCGGAACCGGTCGCGTAGCCACGGTCTATAAATATTTTGAGTCTGATACAATTAACAATGAGTGTATAATGTACTACTTCTATGACACATTAACGGTACAGCTCGCAGTCGCATCATAGAGTATTTAAAAAAATCTTTTATTTAGGTGTAAATTAATTATCAATGCATACATCGCACAGAATTGAAATATGCAGACACATAATTACCAAGGGCAAGGATATCGATATGTACACAAAATGTATGGCAATCACTTTCACATTATGATTTGCATCGCACATCTATATAAACACTAAAACAGAAGCAGCAATGTAGCATAATTTAAATGATGCAATGACAAAAGTGTTCCTCATACAGTTTGTCTCTATTGTATATACTTTCCACAACAACATGAACACTTCTTCACAGGGACTGCAGTTTATTAATAAGAGTATGCATGAATGCCCTCCTAGTATAAGCAGCTGAAACATTTGGCTGATTTGTTTATGCCGCTTTCACACTGGGGTTTATTCCGCTTCAGGTCCGGACCTGAAGCGGGATAAACCCCAGTATGAAAGGTCGAAACACCCTTAGCCCGAGCTAAAGTTATCCCGCTCTAGGGGGTGGTTCATGTCCGCTTCAGACCCGAGCTAACGTCAGTATGAAAGGTATCTCGACTTTAGCCCGCTCTAAATTCCCCCCCCCCACAAACC